GGTGATATGTACTGGGTATTTTCGTAATTTCGTGATAAATATTAGGCCGCAGCAGCTGTACCTGTGTTGCTCATGGCTCTCATATTTATGCTATTTAAGATGGCGGTGTCCATTTCCCTTTATCTCTGTGAATGGTCCTTGGTGATATTAACCATATATTCATAGATTAATTAAGTTTAATTAAGCAATTATGATGAACGTTAACACCCTTCCTTATCTACCACTGCAAGGTATCAATTGGCATGGTCTCCATACATGTTAAATGCAGTTTCAAGTTGATATGGAGGTAATTGTTTAGAATACTTTTGCATAACTATCTTGCCATACATACATGGTGGATTCTTCATTGTCCATGGCCCCATGTTGGGGTTGCGGAGGCACAGCCCCCTACACTGGACATTGGACTCTATATTGACCAATTCTTACTCATAATTTACCCCATAATTTTCCTAGTACCATTCATGCTCTCCCTTGCTGTCGGGGTCAAGATTGTGGGTATTGTGGGGTTTCTGTTGCATAATTTCTAGATATTTAGGTAGTTGAGAGTAAGAGGAATCCATTGATACCAATATCGTTGTGATTGGTCATGCGAGGGTATTCCGAACATTTTCTGCTATGGATAAAACAAACCTAATTAGGAAAAGTCTTGTCCACTTTTCCCATGTATATATTGACTAGTTAGATCTGGTTGCCTCACTGCCCACATGTGGCCAAAAATCTAGGCGTTAGTCTTCCTTGTTTCCTTGTTTTTTGCCAGGAAAACTATAGTAAATATTATAGGTTAAACAAACAGGTAAAACGGGTACTATGTGAAGAAATTTAAATCCACTTTGTCATGAAATAACCACCATTAACATTAACAGTTTTTAAGAATGGTTGTACTGAATTGTTTTATTTCATGGCAGTATTGCTGTTGTTGCTATTGTAGCCATTATTACTATTATTATCCTTGTTGTTGTTGTTTTTATTGTTACAATTACTATTATTATTATTTATTATTGTTATTATTATGTTATTGTTATTATTATTATTATATTATATATTATTATTGTTATTATTATTATTATTATTATTATTATTATTATTATTATTATTTATATTAATTGATTAATGAATTTATTTATCTGTTGATTATTATTTCTAACCTTCATTATTAGGATTGCATTCAGTCCTATTTGATAAGAAAGTCAACATCTCATCATAGCACAGTTTCAGCATTCATTTTGTACAGATATGTATATGTACAGAATATCATTTTAAAATATTTTTCATTGCTTTATTTCAGGGTCAGAATCACAGTAATGGTGGAGGGGGAGGGGGAGGGGGAGGGGATGAAAAGAAGGACAAAAAGAAGAAATATGAACCCCCAGTACCCACCCGCGTCGGTAAGAAGAAGAAGAGGATGAAGGGACCAGATGCCGCCAACAAGCTCCCCTTAGGTTAGTAGTGGTGCTGAGTTGGAAATGATAATCTAATGTTAATTATGTCATGATTTAATGCTGATCCAAAAATGTTGTTTGTTTTTATCACTGCGTGAATTGTAAGATTTGTGGTAGATGCTAGATTCTGGATTCTGATTGACATTAATCTGTTTTCTCTTTTAGTAACACCGCATACAAGATGCCGCTTGAAAATGTTAAAATTAGAGCGGATAAAAGATTATCTGCTAATGGAAGAAGAATTTATCCGTAATCAGGAAACTCTTCGTCCACAAGAAGAGAAGCAGGAGGTGAGAAGCTTTTGTTTTTATAAGATAAATATTGAACCAGAGTAATTCAACCTGATTTACTTGAGAGCTGCAGAGTTGGGATTTTGCCTAACACTTCATTGCTCAAGAGAATGGGGTGGGGGGTAAAAGAAAGTGAGGCACACTATGTTCATCGGTAATGCTGCTCGAATCCTCCTCTATTTATTTCTGTTTTGTAAGAACTGTTTTAATCCTTATAGTGCCTGATTTAGTAAAAGCTTTCCTGTCATCATATGTATTAGGGTTTTACTCTTTCCATCATGTAATATGCCAGTTATTTAAATTAAATGCTGGAACATCTATTCAGAGAATTAAAAATTGTGTATATATTTTATTTCATATCATCTATTTACCTTTGTTTATGTAATTTCAGGAAGAAAGAAGCAAAGTCGATGACCTGCGTGGAACACCAATGAGTGTTGGTACCCTGGAGGAAATCATTGATGATAATCATGCCATAGTATCCACAAGTGTTGGATCAGAGCACTACGTTTCTATACTGTCTTTCGTTGATAAGGATCAGTTAGAACCAGGCTGCTCTGTACTTCTCAATCATAAGGTGGGTACAGTTTGCATTTTGCCTTTGGTCAGATTGAAGGTTGAAAGTACATAGTGTATCCTTACTTTTTTCTCTATTGATGGTAAAAAACATGAAAAAAACACATAAGAGTAATGTTACAGCAAGAGTTTTGTAGGGAAGAATCAGCTGCAGCTGTAATAATCCATGATTTGTGCAAGAATATGTACCCCCAGTTCAAGTATTTAAGTATCAGTATAAAGGGTGTTAGCCAATGATGGGATATTTTCTCTTTCTTTCTTTATTTGTTATGTAATTGCTCTGTACCAATGTTCATTTTATTCAAATATGTGATTTGTGTAACAGTGCATATGTATAGTATGTTGTGTTTAGATTTGTTTTGTCAATATTAACAACTATATTTTTCCCCAAAACTTAAGGTGCATGCTGTAGTAGGTGTCCTAAGCGATGATACCGACCCCATGGTGACAGTTATGAAGTTGGAGAAGGCACCACAGGAAACCTATGCTGATATTGGAGGTGAGGCTAGGCATTTGGCTAATCCAGGAATTTGTCTAATGATGATTTACAATTGTTTTTTATTTAAACTACCATCACTTAAATTAGATCACCATATATGTTACCTTTTGATATCTTCTTTTCTGGTCAGTAAAACCTGAAACACGAGAATTATATAACAAGTTTATATATATATATTTTTTTTTATTATTCCTAGGACTGGATACTCAGATTCAGGAAATTAAGGAGTCTGTAGAACTCCCTCTGACCCACCCTGAATACTATGAGGAAATGGGTATCAAGCCTCCTAAGGGAGTCATCCTTTATGGACAGCCTGGTACTGGAAAAACCCTTCTTGCCAAGGCTGTGGCCAACCAGACCAGTGCCACATTCCTTAGAGTTGTGGGCTCAGAACTTATCCAGAAATACCTGGTAAGTGTGGGAAATTGTGACAGATTTTGTCCTTCAGAGATTGGATGGCTCTAGATTTAAAGTTATTTTCTAGATATTTTTCATCTAGATGTGTATATAGAAGTGTACTTGTACTACATTTTAAATTTAGGTTTCATAGCTCCACTTTTTATACAGTAATTCTGTTACATTTTTGTATATTTAGGTATATTGATTTATGGAACCCTGGAGGTGCATCTGGTAAGTAGGTTTTGATAAATGTTAATTTCTTTTCAGGGTGATGGTCCCAAATTGGTACGAGAACTCTTCAGAGTGGCAGAAGAACATGCTCCTAGTATTGTTTTTATTGATGAAATCGATGCTGTGGGAACCAAGCGATATGATTCAAATTCTGGTGGTGAAAGGGAGATCCAGAGAACTATGTTGGAACTCCTAAATCAGCTGGATGGGTTTGATTCAAGAGGAGATGTTAAGGTAAAGATTGCATTGCTTTGTTTTTGATTTTCAATTCAAGGAAACTCTTAGAAAATAAGATTATTGTATTATAAAATAGTTCAATTTAGGTCAACTGATAGTTTAATGCTGCTAATTGTTTGTACATTCTTGGTACAAATACTTTATTCTGTAATCAGTGAATATCTTGTATAGACCTGATGATTTTAATCGTTGTTGACATACATTTCTTTGGATGATCTTTAACATTGTGAAATTATGCAATTTTTTATTTGGTCCTAGGTGATTATGGCTACGAACAGAATTGAGACCCTGGATCCAGCTCTGATCCGTCCAGGTAGAATTGATCGTAAGATTGAGTTCCCTCTGCCTGATGAGAAAACCAAGCGTCGTATTTTCCAAATTCACACATCAAGGATGACATTGGCAGGTGATGTCAACCTGGATGAACTTATTATGGCAAAGGATGATTTGTCCGGAGCAGATATCAAGGTAAATATAGCAGTTGTGCCTGTGATATTTGTTTACTTATTTTTATTTTATTTATTTATTATTTCTAAGTTTTGTAAAGTAGACAACATATTGTGGGAAGTTTATATTATAGATCACATTTTATAATTTAAGTTTATTTCTTTGCTTTTAAAATTGCCTTGAACTTTATTTTCCATTTTATTCTACCAAAAAGACGTACAGTATTTATAGTTAGTCCATATCTAACAAAAGGTTCGTATTTCCTTAGGCCATCTGCACAGAAGCTGGGTTGATGGCACTCCGTGAACGAAGAATGAAGGTTACAAATGAAGACTTCAAGAAATCAAAGGAAAATGTTCTGTATAGAAAGAAAGAGGGAACACCAGAAGGCCTCTATCTCTAAGGTCTTGGATGTGTGCGTTGGCTTTTTTAATGTTTAGAAGTTTACATGGAACCCATGTTCTTTATTTGTACTATAGATTTATTGATACCCAAGAAGGATATTTTTTTTCTATTTAATTTCATAAGGGTGAAGAAGTTTTTAAAATTACATGACCAGTGATTTCCTTTCTTGACCCATGAAGTTGACCATGTAATAATTTCATCCTAATAGAAATAAAAAGGTGATAATGTGTACTACTAGTATTGTTCCCAAATATTTACTCTAAGTATATGATGGGTAATGAGACTTTACAGCCATAGATAAAATGTCAGTGTAGGTATATAATTATCTTCTGAGTAATCTTTAATGTGCAAGACAAAACTACATACTTCATCTATAAAACAAAGGAGTGAATGGAACAAGTGTATGGTTGATAGAATACCATGCAAGGTGATTCATGATAAAACTATAATTTTATCAATGACTTTAGAGTACTTCAG